AAACCACTGCTAAGAATCAAATATTTTTAGATGTCTCTGACATATTATCAGAACTAGTGTGGACTCCTTTTTCTGTGTTTTAGTTTAACAAAAATAAGAGAGAAATAAAATACATGGGACAGACTGGAATACTATTGATCAATTGATCAAGTATGAGGCAGATCTCACATTGCACAACAATTTGCTCCACAGTCTTAAATCAGCCTTTGAATGAGGTGAGCAAGGCCCCTGCTGACCAAAATTTCATTTCCTCAACGGGGAAAGGATGAATCAGCACACACTGCACCTTAAATTCACTCACTCTCATAAGGCTGGGGATTTCCAGTAGTGTGCAGGGGCAGGGTTTGTGCACCAAGTGTGGAGAGCTCAGCACCTGGCAGAGCCTGTGACACCTAAAACATCAGCCTGCTCTTGCCCCATTACTGAGAGGCCATCATCAGGGGGGAACTAAGGAGGTTCTTTGCAATGCTGAAGCCAAGGCCATGTGTGAACTATAATACTAAGAATGCTGAGATGAAACATAGGTATTAAGAGAACAATTATTTCTTGAAAATTCTGAATTACATTATGCTACGTTTCCTAATAATTTCAGAATGAGGGAGATCTCTTTCTTTTTTTAAACTACCAAAGCAAGAAACTGCTCTTCTTCCCATAGACCTGCCACTAACTCCAGCCATTCCTTTCCTGATTCAAAAAAGTCAGATAGATTCTGTATTTCTTCACAAATCAGAAGAAAAATGTTAGGGCATTTTCATTGCAAAAATTTGTACTACTTCTAGTAATTCAACATGAACTTTTATGCCTTTTCCCTTAACAAAATACTATCTTTTTTCAAATATTTAAAAAAAAACTTTCCTAGTTTAAACACAGAATAGATTTATGATGAAAGCCATAAGGGAAAAAACAAGAAAGAGAAAGAAAACAACCCCTACATAACATGTGAAATCAACTGTAGAAAAATTGTTTTAAGGGTAGAAGGGTACCAGAATCATGCTTGAATAGGTATCAGCTGATTCTACCAAATGGCCATCAAGGTCAAGGACCATCATAAAAATCAAAGCAAGGACTTTTCCTAGATAAGAATTTTTTTTTTATTATTATTTTGAAATAAAGTTCAGGGCTGCGGTCAATATATTTGCTTTTTATGACCACTTATTTGATTTATTTTTGAGAAAACCACTTCAGTTTAGCTGTTAAATACTGAACACTCCTTTTTGTACTTCAAGGCTCAAAGAAGCAGATTTCATAATATTTGTATGCTTTTTATGCATGAGTCCTTTTATTTATACAGCTCCCTATAAATCATATAAATGAATGACAGAAAGGACCAATTAGAGCTTTTTCAGGGTAGAATGGCTCTTAGATGGTTCTGTAGTCTCATTTTAATGGTTTCAGGTTCCACAGTTTCCCTGAGGAGATCATTTGAGAGCTTACTGCAATTTATTCTCATGATAGTCAGCTTCAACATTTCCTTTTCCAATTGAATCACAATACACTTACATCCAACATAATGTATCACACATTTTCTCCTCTTGTGACACAAGGTAGATTCCATAAATCCTGCAATAAATTCATCACCTCCCCTTATGTCCTTATAAGTCTATATTAGCTGAGTTATGTAGCACATGCCAGCTTTGGAAGCAACATCAGTTATACTTCTTCAGTGATTTGCACAAAAAAGTAGCAATCAAACCCCAATACTATAGACATACTTTATACAAGCTCCAAATTGATTCATAAAAATAATCCATATTTTTTTAAATAATTCTATGGTTCTGTGTATTATAAGTATAAAATACCACCCCTTTTTTATGCATGCTTGCAGAGTCTTAACCCCATTCTCCCAGGGTCATATAATACAATTCCACGAGCCAGTTTTTTATCGTGTGTCTCTGGAAGGATCCAAATAAATTTTCCAGCTCACTACAAAGTAAGCAGTACTGTTGTGTGTAGCTGACTCTGGCCTGCCATGTAGACCGGTCCCTTCACCCTTCTCTTTATCATGTGCCAAACTGGTTTGCTTTCAGATTCCTAGCCTGCCTTTCCCATTCAAGTCCTGCCATGGGGTTGCCTGTGTTCCAGGGCTCATGCTCAGCTCCTTCACTGCACAAATTTTATTACACAAGAAACAGGGCTTACATTCATCTTTTACATTTTCAGATTAAAGGGACTACAGAGATAGGGAAACACATTCCTGCAAGTTTAAGACCGTTAGGTTGTACATTTTTTTTAATTTATCTGTCTTCAGTTATACTGATCACAGCAGAATTTTGAAAAAAACAAATGAGAACCAGAAACCAAGAAAGCACCCCTTAACATCCTACTAGTTCGTGTATGTACATACAGCCTCTAAAACAGGCTAGGAGATGGTTATCAAATTACAATTCTTGGAATATTATTCCTCCTGAACAAATGAGTTCTATAAAACTACAAAGTCTCCAGGAAACTCTGTTAGGTGTTAATGTGCTAATTAGAAAAGGATTGACTAAACCCATGAAAGCAGTAATAAAAAGTTAGAATACTGCTCATTCACTCAGTAATACAGAACAAGTGCTCTAATAGCAAAGGTTTAAGAGCCAAAGGACCATGCAGGTGCCTTATACTTCAATAGGTTTTATAGCTGAGGAAGATGCTACAAATACCAAAAGCTCTGGTGCGAATAAAAATAATAAATCATTTTTGGAAGCTGGCTTTAGAAAACAAATAAAACACAACCAGCAGAAATTAAGAAGCCTGATTACATCTCACAGCTAAAGCCATTCCAAAGCTCATTGTACCTTGTGTCCTACACCTACCAGGTAGGGAAGGAGGGCGTGCACTGGAGTGCTCTGCCAGGCCGTGTGCTGGGTATCCAGTGGCCACCACCTCCTCTTTGCTGACCTGCAGGACAGCTTTTACAGACCGAAGAGACTGGAAGATCCCTGAGGGGAGCTGCAGTGAACTCCTCCCTGGCTATGTTACATGTGGGCCCTGTTAGAGAGAGTCTCTCCTTCATTCTGCAAAAAAATCTGTCATTCATTACTGAAATCAGCCCCGTATGGGTGAACTAGCAACTGGCTTGAAGTCACTGGAGAGCGAAAAAAGGTGACGGCAGCTTGGAATGCAGCTAAAATACTTCCAAGAGTTTAAGATTAAAAGGGATCATTTGGTCACATACTCTCACCACAGGCCAGTAAGTCTTCCTACAAGTCCCAAACTGAACTAAGGAGCTTGTTTGTGATTAAAACCATTACATTTGCATTACATTATCTCAGCTCCCGACCACTAAGTCTTCCTTTATATTCTTTTCTTCCATTGTAAAAAGCTTTAGCACAGCAAATCTTGCAGATCTTTTTGACAAATTGATACTGCCTTCAGAACATATCATTGTAAGAGACTTTCTCCATTACTATAATGTTCTGGCAGGTCTTTCCTGCACCACTTGGTCTTTAATGTCAAGAGCCACACACCTTGTTCTATCAGTTCCCATGAATGCACACTAATGCTGGTAGTACATCCAACAGGCAGACTGGACACATTGCACCTTACCCATAACAGTTTGCTTGACAAGATTTTTAGACAACTTTTTCTAAGACATAAGCTCTCATTCCAGAGGCATGGCTTGTATTCCTGGAAAATTTGGCAGTAAATTTGGCCAGCACACTTGGCTGCTTGAAAGTGTTAATTTTACTAAGCAGTCCAGATGACACTGCAGTTGCTCTCACAGTAGTTTACTAAGTTACCATTTAGCACATCCATAGATTTTATTAACAGTGAGTTTATTTTGGATCTCCGGTAAAAAGCTTGAAAATGTTGAGCCTGCAGAAACTTGCACACCCCAAAACCATGAAGACCAGCCTCTGAAAACCCTACTGATCTTTCAGAACTATTTTAACAGATTGACTGTTCAACAGCATTAGCCATTAGAAGAACATATGGTATTAACCAAAGGACCCAGAGACCATTCTGCAGTTCTAAGCCTGCTAGATTAAAAACAGAAGCCCTGATATTCCTGCAATTACTTTTATCAATTTACCTGTGTAACTGAATAAGGCTATGAAAGTCAAGTTGATTGACATTAAGGATATCTTACCCATTTATCAAACCATTTTTGTATCTTATTCTACTGTTCTTCCTGTGGTTTATGTTAAAACAGTCAAGAGCAGTACCTAGTCATCCAGCTTGGTCTTCTGAAAATGGACAGAACACGAATGATTTTCTTTACTTCATAATAAATTTCCTTCCACTTAAAGATTTATTAAACCCCAAACTTAGCTATTTTCTCAGCTAACTGTCAAGATCCCACGGTGCAAATTAGCCAGACTTCATTAAAAACTGTCTAGGTTTGCTTGGAACAGAGCTTTCCCCACGGACCTCACCAATTCCCACCACGTGATGCCAGCACAGCACCTGGCTTCTCCCAGGTACGGCGGCGATGCTCATCCAGCACCACCGACGTGCGCTCCACCACATCTGCGGCACCTCAGACCCACCCGCAGCCCGGAGCGGCTCCCCTCGCCCCTCCTCGTGCCCCTTTTCCTCTAAATCCCCCTCCGCAGCCGAACGCCCAGCGGGATCCCCGTTCGGGGGTTCGAGCGAGGTGCCAGCACCTGCGCGGCGGTGGCGGCAGGTCGCTGCGGCCACCCCCACCACATCCCCCACTCCTCCCGAGGGGGATGTGGCGCCGGCGCGGCCCCCGGGCGCGGGCGGGCGGTGCCCCTCACACCGCCAGGCGGGGCCGCGCTCCCGGCATGCCCGAGGGGGACTGCACCGAGGGTGGGTAGGTGGGCGGAGGGAAGTAGGGCGGGAGGGGGGCGCGCCCACCCCGCCGCTGCCGCCGCTGCTTCCCATTCCCAGGCGCTTCCCATTCCCAGCCGACGCGGAAAGCGGCGCGCAGCAGAGCCGCTGTAGCCGGCGCGCAGGGCGCATGCGCGGGCGGGCGGCCGGGAGGGCGGGGGCCGGCGTTGAGCGGCGAGCGCTCTGCTGCCGCCCGCACTCGGCGCTCCCGCCCGGCACCGCCGCTACCCGGGACCGGCGGCCGCCGCCGCGCACAGCCCGCGCCCTCTCCCGCGCCGCGTCCGCCCGTCCTCCTGCCCCGCCATGAAGTTGAGCAGCCGCGGCCGGGGATGCTGCGCGGGCGGCAGCCGGGAGCGCGGGCCGCCGCCGCGGAGCCCCTTCGTGCACCAGCTGCGCTTCAGCCCCCTGGAGAAAGCCAAGGTAGGGGCGTGTGGCCGCCGGGCCGCTCTCCCTCGCCGCCGCCTCTCTCCGCGCGTCCCCCGCGGCTGCCGGGCCGCGACCCACGGCGGGCGGGGGCTCCGCGCCGCCGGTGCTTTGTGAGCCGGCGGAGCCGGGCAGCGGTGCTGGGCGTGTGCGAGGCGGCGGCCGGGGCCGGCCGTGCCCCGGCCGGGCGGGGGGCTGGGGGCGGCCGTGATGCTGTAGTGCAGGGCGTGCGCCTCAACTTGTGCTCCGATGCCTTCTTCAAAGGCAAAAAAAGCTGCTGGTTTTTTTTTATTTGTTTGTTTGATTGATTGTTTGTTTTGGGGTTTTTTAATGGGTTTTGTTGGCGTTTTGAGGTTTGGGAGGGTTTTTTTTTTCGTTTCTCTGGTTTTCGGGGGCTTTTTTGTGTTGTAGATTGTTGGTTTTTTTAATGGGGGACGGGGGAGCAGCCCTGCGGAGCCGTTCTTCTTCAGCGTTAAGGTAGGTATTAACCTGGGCCGAGACATCCCGGTGCAGCCGAAGTTTTGCCTCTGGGTAAATAGTCCCAGCGGCGTAATTTAGGTATTGTGCAGGTAGCTGTGAGACTACAGGAAGCGGTATTAAAATGCAAATTTACTGTTGCGTGGCTTTTTATTTCATTGTTTAGTTTTAGGGGGATTTTTTCCCCCCGCCGTGCCTCTGCCTCGCCTCCCATAGTGAACAGTAAGTGGTTGAGTATTCAGAGGGCATGGCCCTTGTCTTAGGCTTTCGGTAAGATCTGGGTCACTTGCTGGAGGAAGAAATACCATCAGAGGCTCACCTAATGAAGGGCTGGCCATTTCTGCCACTGTGCCATCACTGTGCTTCAGCTTTATAAAGCTGTTGTTTTGGGAGCCTGACAGCCCTCAGTACCTGTTAACATTGGAAATTATGATTCATTAATATTGAACCTCTTGGGTCAAGGCACTTTAGATCCAGCTTTGATTGGCATTTGAGTGAAGTTTGTTGTTGCACTGCCCTGTTGCTGCCCAGATGCCTAACATAAGATATGTATAGCCTGACTTAAAAAACATAAGAATGTGCCTCATATCGGGCAGCCCAGGAATTTACAGTATACTCCAGTAGAAAAGGTTTTCACTTTTTATTAAGTTGCCCAGTATGTATTCAGTGGTTATTCATAAATTGTTGCTTGAGCTGGAAAAGGGAGAAAAGGTTTTTGTCATTTGCTTAATTTAGTTTATATCTAGAGTTTCCTCAATAAATTACACAGTTGTAAAGATTTCCTTTCCATATTCCATACTTTGTTCCTGAAGTCATAGTTAATATGCAATTAATGAGGTAGAAGTCTTTTAGGGAGCAGAGAGAAGCAAAGATAGCACATGTTCATGTGGACTAGGATTATCTCCAGTTATAGCAACTAATGTTTCTTTCTACTTGGTTATTTATAAGAGATTTTAAAAATACTGCTGGGAGAGGAGAACAAACTCTGTTTTACAGTTTTTGCAGTATTGAGTCTCATAGGAGCTGCTGCTCTGATGTTAGTCCTGACAGACCTTGAGGTGCTTCGTCAGGGAAGTGACTGGTTGTGGAACAGACCTGCTTTCTGTGTGGGCTGCCTTGTTCATAGGTGTGACATGTGAGCCTTGCCAATGGATTTCAAGGATTTGTTTTTTCAGTGAAGATGAGATGTGTTTAAACTGCTGTAGTTTGTCACAGTGCACAGGCCAAAGGAACAGCCTCCTCAGTAAAGAGTGTGTCTCAGACTTGCTTCTTGAGCAGTCTTTCAGTGGTATACGGCAGCAGAGTTCTTTAACCCAGCCTCCCTTCAGTCCTACTGCTGCAATTTTATGGAGGAAAAAACCCATAAGCTAGCATACAGAACTGTGGTAGATTTTTGATTTGCCTTAATCATGCTTTTCCAGCCTCTTCACCGATTAATAGTTGTGCTTGAGGCAGAAGCTGTTAAAGCAGAGCTGTGGGACTGCTCCGCATGAGAAGAAAAGCTCCCCAGGTGAATTACCGAAGTGTACATTCTCCTCTGTACAGCCTTGGAGGGCTTGGTGTGAACTGTGGCAGCTGAGCTCACTTCCTGCTCAGTTGTAGGCATGTATTGTGTCACAGGTTTTTCTGTCTGTCCTGTGAATCTAACGAGGGTTTCTGGGTTTGCACGGGCTGTCGAGGAAGGTTAGGAATGTAGGTACAAGAAGTAGGGAACCCATGGGACTGGGAGACAAAGACGCCTTTGTCCGATGGTCTGGTGTCTGTTGCTGACGGTCTGCCAGATAGCCTCATTATCTTTGCACTCTGCAAGAGGTTAGATTAGCTTTTTTGTTCATTAATGAAGCTCAAAAGTAGATGCTTTTTAGCATGTTCCAGCCTGAGATTGTGGGAGTGAAAGGAAGGTAAAAAGTGAGAGGGTAAAACAACCACGAGGAGAAAGAAAAACAGTAAAAAGTAATCCTTTTGATTGTCAAAGAACTCTACACACCATCTTTCATTGACTTTATAAAAACTGGGAGACTACGAGAGCATAAAAGCAGTAAGACTGTTTCAGAACTGTGTCTCATCGGTAGAAATTACGGCTCATGGCCTCTGATCTCTGATAGGGGTCATTCTTGAAACTATCTGTTTTATTTCACTACTATGATAAAAAGATACTTTCTGTGGGAAAGACAGACATGATTTTATTAACCATGGATTTTGTTCATACTAACATCTGCTGTCATGTAAGTCCAAGCTCTTGATTCTTGTTACCACTGCAGAAGACAGAAGCATTACTGGAGCTGTCACTAAGCATCTGTAGCTTTTTTCCCTGCTACTTCAAAACATAATGCAATGCCATTTTCCTTTCTTCCAGTGTTCTGGCCCTTTTATTTCATCAGTGCTGGTGTTCATTTGGTGCTTGGTGAGCTGATTTGGCTCATTAAACCAGCATATCATTGAGGTTTTGTGTTCTGATTATTTCCTTTTGCTGGGATGGCTGTTTTTTCTCACTAATGAGCTATATTGGCTCATTGCTAGCTCACATAAGTGCTAGAGCTGACTCAAGGGGAGGATTGAGGAGAGAGTGAACAGGACCACTCTTTCACAGCAGTCATCTCTTAGATTGGCTTAGTTGCACAGGAAAATTTCTCCTCCTGTATTTATCTCCATGAATGTGTCTGCTGGGGACCTTGCAGAGTGGGAAAGTGGGCAGTGAGAGAATTGTTGAGGGATGGATTCCTAGCTCTTTCACTGTCATATTTGGTGAGTTGAGCTGTAGGGATGATAACCATGAGGAAGTATAAGTGTCGAGCAGGATGTAATTTCTACCTGATATGTGTAAAAGAAAAATCAAAACCTCTACCATGTCAAATAGTATTTCCTTTCTCAGTACTGTGACTGCTACTTTGTAACAAGTCATGGGAATTTTGTTGGAAATAGACTGGTTTTAGTGATGTTTCTTATGGTATTGGTAAAGTTGCATTTTTTCAGCTTCCCTGTGCATGAGAGCTACGATAGTGGTTTTCAATATAGGAAACAGACCTAGGGAAGTGAAAACAAGGGTACTCTGTCATTCTCTTGCTCTGTGCTTAGATGCATAGGACCAGATGTTTTGGAGAACTTGAAACTTGAGTTCATATTTTATACCTTCATTGCGAGATCTTGCTTAAATCTGAGTGCAGTCTCTCTAAACAAGGAGAACATATGATGCCTATTTTGTTTAAGTGGCTTGCCTTATATCATATTTAAGTCCTTCTGATGGAAGAATGGAGATCAGTTTCCTAGGGCAGCCTTCTATTACAAGCTGTCCATAGGTCTTTCACAGTATACACTGCAGCTTCTGAAAAACTGAATTGGGTGCTGTAGACTGGCAAATGTTAAACAAGCTGTTGTCAACCCCCTCTTGAGATTTCTTTGGTCATGAGCTGAATTGCTCAAAGTACAGCTCTGGGTGGACCTTTAGGGGGTTTTAAATGTATCTCAAAACATAGGTGTTTACATATTACTTGTTGCCAAACAGAATTTGTAATTTTAATGGAAGACATGTCTCTATGAACCTCCCAAATATGTAGGACTGTGATCGCCAAAATAGCACCCACATTAGGTCAGAGACAGAGTGTATGTCTCTGCATTATGGTCTTTGTCAGTGGATCTTCTCATTTTTTTCTGTCTGACACTGTTGCTGTACATAGGTTTTACAGGATAGAAGCTTTCTTACCTGGGAAGATGTCTGAACATAGATAAAGACTGAACTAATATATTCAAGTGTTAGCACCTTTCTTGATTCCTAATCTTCTGGAGGTAGATACACTTTTCTCTCCTGTCAAATTTTTTGTGTGAGCAGGTACTGAACTACTGCCTGCTAAGAAGAAGCTGGTGTCACAGCCAGACCTGGTGCATTTGCTTCTTGCTGGCCATTACCATCCTCGCTGTCTCTGGAAGACCAAGAGACCTTTTCTGCACATTTATGTCATCTTTTATGGCATTATGGATGCAGCTTCTGCTTTCTTTCTGTGATGTGGCACTAAAATGATCTTTGGTACAATGGATTGGTACATACAGTCAATGGATGGAATACCTCACTACCAGTCACCTGCCATTCAGCTTTGCCCTAGAGTAGAAGACTTGGAGGAGAGGGAGGGAGGAGATGTGAATCCCAAAGGTCTGTGTCCTCATCTGCATTTTGTTTCACTTATTTCTTATAAGAAATATTATATTCTTATATTCTTGGCTGGTCCTCCTCATTTTACAAACTTAGAAGGAAGCTGCTCTCATCTCCAGGATGCTCCTCTGTTTGCTGCCAAAATTTGGTGGTCTTGTCTGTGGATGCAGAGTTGTGTGAGTTGGTGTAACTTTGATGCTCATTGTAGTGTGTGAAGTTCTACTGGTTCATCTGGGAAACTAGCCTATCTAAAAAAAAAAAGTATTCCTTTTTCTGTCAGCTCTGCAAACTAAAGGAGAGTCTCTGTAGGGACTGGAATCCTGTTCTGGAGAGTGTGCTTGTGGTTGATATGAGATGATGGTGCCAGTCTGAACCATCACTGTAAAATCCAACTGCAGTGGGCTGGTATCTTGGGCTTTTCTCCTGCTGTGTGTTCCCCACACCTACCCTAGATTTACAGATTGTGCATCTACAGAGTGAGTTGTTGAGCTGTTTTGGGAAGTGAGAGGAAGTGGAAAGTGAGCTGCATGATGACTAGAACTGCATCAGGGAAGAGAAGAATATGAATAAATCTTTCCACAGCAGCCTGGAGATGCATCAGATTAAGCACAACATGAGACAGCACCTTATGCCTCGTTATTCGTCCTTCCCAGCTATTGTGCTAGTGAAAAGTGTGCTTTTTTCTTAACCTAATCTGGCATATCTGGAATTGAATAGTATTCTGCTGTTTCTACCATTAGATATTATTAAGTTAAGAAATGGTATCAGTTTCTAGGAATCACTGACCTTTTCAGTTTGAAATTGTGTTGGAATAATGCTTTCTTTATTATTTTTATTTTGCAGATTGCCTTCATGACCTTGACTCTGTTTCCTATCCGACTCTTTTTTGCTGCTTTTATGATGTTGCTGGCCTGGCCTTTTGCTTTCATTGCTTCAATGGGATCTGACGAGCAAGAGCTTGAAAAGCCCCTCTCCTGGTGGCGAAAGTGAGTCACTGATCTGATGAAATACTGAGAGAATCATGTAGTTCAGCGGTTTGAAATAGAGGAGATGGGAAACACCTTTTACCTGTCTCAGATACCACTTTTCTCTTCAAAAGAAAAATATAAAAGTTATTAAACATTTTCCTCAGGTGGAAAACTAGAAATGCCTCAACTCTTTGATTTGCCAGGTGATCTGAGAATTGCACTGGTAATCTCTGTTTTCTTATCTTTGTTGAGGATGTAGTGTGAAGCTTTGTTGTGGCATCTTCAATTGCATTTATTCCTGTAATGTCAACTTCTGGTTATGAAGGTTGACTCTATGGAATGTGCCCAGATTTCATTTTCTAAATTATTGTTTTAAAGTGCTTCACCCCATTGTCTTCTAACCTGTGGTGAACTTACAAAACTTATATTGATTCTCTGAAGGCTTGCCCCATACTTCGGTGCTTACTAAAAGTCTGTGGTTGCTTTGATATTGCAATGCTAATTAAGGTAGAATGTAAGACAGCGTCCTCCCATCCATGAAAACTGCTATTTGAGGAGCAGGAGAGGAGGGGTGTATCACCTCTTCTATAGACAACTTTAAAATTAGGAGCTGGCACTAGCATGAAGGGAGCTGATTGTGTTTTGCATCACAGGAGGGAAAGAGATTGAGAACCACAGAGGCATGTCGCTTTACATTTCTTTTGGAGCGATATCAGTATAATAATTAATGGAATAATCAGCTGCCTTCAGTCTTGCATACAGTTATTTTGAATCATTTTAGATTTTCCCTTACCCATTTAATCCAGTTTTCAATGTTACCCTGCTCTCCAGCCTCTAATCCTTGTGTTACAATTTGTCCTATTTGATTTTTGTACTCTGTTCAAAGTTTCTCTTTTCATGACTGTCAGACAGTTTAAAAAGGCAGACAAACAAAACTCCACAAAAAAACCCAAAACCTTCCCTAGTCCACAAAAAAAAAAAAAATCCACAAGAAACAAAAATCCAAATCACTTTAGGAGAAGATGGGGAAAGGAAAGAAAGTAAAGTATTTCCAGAGCTCTTATATGTATTCTGTAGGCCTTCCTGTAGTTGAGAATCTATGCCCTATATTTATCCCCTGTTTTGTTTGGGTAAACTTGAAACCAAGAATCAGGGCAAGTGTATTCTGCAATATTGTAACAGCGTATTTCAGGATTCAATTTATCAGATGTTTCTAGGTGTTACTAGAAAACCTTATTAGACATTGTGTAAAACAAACTTAACAGTTGTAATATGTTTATTACTACATAATATTTTGTTTATACAAAATATTGTGTAATATTACAAAATATCTGTTTATTATTGCATTATAAAAGTAATGATGAAGTAAATGTCAATCTTGAAGACAAGAATAAATTAGTGCTCAGGTGTAAAATGAAGTTGAACAGCATCTTACCTTGAAAGTGGTTTTAAATCAGCTGAGAAAGAGAAGAACAGTGTGTGCAGTATTCCAGCTCTGTTTTAAGCATCATATCCTATCTGAACTTTTGTCATGTATGCAATTTTTCATCTCATTATTTTAAGGTGCTCCTGTGGCAACATAACTGTTTTCCCAACTCTTTACAGGATAGTGGCTATCTTGCTGAAAGCAATAATGAGAATGATGTGGCTTGCTGGTGGATTCCACTGGATAAATATAAAAGGCAGACGGGCATTGCCAGCAGAAGCAGCAATATTAACAGTGGCTCCCCATTCTTCCTACTTTGATGCCATTCCAGTAACTATGACCTTCGCCTCCATTGTGATGAAAGCAGAAAGCAAAGATATTCCTGTTTGGGGAAGTAAGTTGGTAGATACTTCATTTTTCAAGAACAATTTAAAAAGATTGCCTAGGAAGTTCACTGTGTGTGTATGAGAAGCACTGAAACAGAAAGGAAATTTTGCTGTAATGTATGGTGAGAATTTATTTGGGTTTTTTTTACTGGTCTACTCTGAACGTCAATAGAACAAATTGGATCAGGAGTGGGAGGGGAATGTTCTTTTTCCACTTTCACCAAAGTTGAATCCCTGTATGAAGTCAAAGCAATATACAGTTCACTGTTTAATTTGCAGTGAACTTCTGACATTTGAAGACCTGCCAGATGGAAAAGCAAATTAGGATGGGGCTGTGGAAGCAAAGACTGATGCTAGAGAGAAAGTTTACAAAGACTTGGTGTGAGTTGGGGTGCCCTCCCAGAGGTGTGTTTTAGGAATGTGGTCTGCTCTGAATGCTACCCTGCCTTGAAGGGAGTGCTGCTAATCCTTCATGCATCAATAAGTTTGTTTCAGGCGGAGTGTGAGAGATGAGCACAAGAGCAGATTGTCATGCACTTGGGTTTGGTTATGAGAAAAGCAGATGCCTGAGTCAGTAGTGCTTGAATACTATCTTTGGAATTATTCATGTAAGTTCTCACAAATCTTTGAGAGACACCTGTGATTTTTGGTGCAGCTGTGACAGGCATAAAAATTTCTGTAAGCTTTAGGCTTGCAGACTTCTAACCAAAGTCTGTGTGGAAGCATTTTGGAGAAGCCCACTATTTTGTGTCTAGCATCCAGCAAAGTTCAAAGAATATCCTGTGTATCATTGTGTAGAGTTTTATGGGTAGTATAAAAGTGACAGAAGATTTTACTTTGGCCATGAGTAGGACTCTTAAATTTAAAAGTCTAAACAAAAGCTTTGAGTTCCTTTGCAACTAAGTGGAATCAGGCTGTTGGTGCTGACATCCTTCTAAAATTTAATTAGACTGTGTTTTTAAGGTCACATTCAAAACCAGAAGTTGAGACATGGCTGCAAAGGGTGAGTGGTCAGATATGGAAGTCACTTAAGGAATCTCATCATATAAGAGTCTGCCTGTATGAGGTAAAATCCAGGCCAGATGGGTAGTTGTATCTTAATTTTTTGTTAAATATCTTACTAACAGGATTTAGAAATTTGTGGCAGTGAAAAATCTACGTAAAAATTAATAGATACTTTGAACAAAAAGGATGCAGGCAGGCATGTGTTTTTGAAAACAAGTTGTATGCAAACAAGCATAGTGTGAAAACAAAAAGAAATTGAACTCCCTTGTTCAGTACTGAAAGAAGATACTGTTGTGAGACAGCATGTTGGCAGTCCTGTACAGCATAGGTGTATCCAGGCCAGCTTATGAGCAGTGCAGACATAAAAGCAGGGGCTGATTTATCTTTTATCTCAGGTGACTGTTTAATAATTGCTGGCTCCGCAAAATAAAAGTAGTCTGTGTGGAGCTCCCTTTGACTTGGAAGTGGTCTGTCTGGAGAACCCAATTTAAATGAGGTGACTCCAGTCCATGTTGTGCTACTGCAGTGGCATGAAATGGCAGAATGGCATTTGGCAATGGCTAAGTATCCCACGTAGTAGATCAGTGGGAACCAGAACAATCCGTAGGGATATGGAGATTGTAGTTCCCCTGAATGTAATACAAATAATGTCTATTAAGTAGATTGGACTATTTTCTAAATATCTAATTAATTTTGAGGTGACTTTTACAGGATTCCATTGAAAGTCTAGACTTCCTACAATACATTTTAAAAATTATTCACTTCATTTAGCTCATATGTGAGTAAAACCAGTTACAGAAAAAGAGAACATGTAGTGATTTGATGGAATACTACTGGAATGTACAGTGCAGTCAAACAAATGAGTGCTTTGTCTTGTATATGCATTTGCTTTATGCTGTGCAGCCACAAAAGTTATGTACTCACTTGTGAAGGGTTCACAAAAATGCCACAGAAGTGAGGCATACCAAAGGTTGTAACTGGGAATAAGAGTTCAAAAACTGTTTTTGTTTTTAGGGGTGGACAGTTACATGAGCAACATTAATTAAAGGGGTTTGTCTTACTTAAGTAAGTGGACCTTAACAGAGAGGTAGTAATCACTGTATTGATTAGTTTGGCTTAAAAATAAATGAGAACTTTCCAGTAAAACTGATTTATTTATCTCTTTTTACTGCTTTGGGAGATGGTTTCTGTGAAGCAGTAGTGCTGACTATCCTCTCTTTTGATCTAGTATTTCAATCCCAAAGTCATTTCCACCTCTCTACTTGCACACACATAAAAAAATACATTTAATGTCATCGGACCACTGATACTTCTCTTGTGCTTATATGATAATGTGCTCATGTTTTTATCGGATTGCCTGGTGAATCGTCAACACTCTAGACATTCATCCCAGAATTTCTCCCAGAGAAGTCATAATTGTGTATGTGTTCTTCAGTTTTTCAGTCTTGCAAGCTTGGTATACCATCTTCTATAAGGTTTTGGAGCCAGTCACTGATAATCCTTACCTTGTTATCTCTTGAGTCTTGTTAATGGTTATTCTGAATCTTCTGGGAAGCATTAAATAAAGTACATTCACTTAACTATCTGAGAAGACTTAAACATGTAAAAAATGAAGGGACAGAGGAAACTTAAAGATAATTTCCAAGGATGAGGACTCTGGGTGAAGAGTACATCCTCATCCAGTGCATTCAAGTATGTTATAAATTAATTGGCTTTTTGATGTCATGACAATGTGTTTATTGAGACATGGTACATTGTATACCAGAGGGATCAAGTGCTTTAGCAGGCACAAAATGATCTGATTGCTAAATGGTTACTAAGATTGGTTCTGCAAGTATTTTAATAGGTTTCTGGAACAGCTGCCTGTATTATTGTATCCTTAGTTTGCCAATCATGGAATATTAAGTTTCTGATCCTCTTGAAAGTCCAGATGATTAAAAGCCTGTTCTTTATGGGATTGGAAGTACTCCACGGCTGTGTTTGTGTATGGGGTTTTTATTGCTTTCTGACTTGAAGGTAGCTCTCCTGGTTTGCAAAGTCCAATTTCAGAAGCAGACTTAACGTCTTGTGACTCTTACAGATATCTTCATCCTTTTTAGGAAAACAAGATTTAAAAATGTTCTTTGGTTCTGGGAGAAGAGTTATGAACTCTTCAGTCAGTGGTCAGTCGTGAAGAAAATTATCCATTTGGCACACACACACGAGGTTAACAAACTCTGGGGAGGAACTGCTTACCCAAATATAAATGATATTTCAATCATTAAAAAAAAAACCTCCAGTATCTGGACACCAGAGAATGCCAAACAGATGGAATATGTCATGATACTGAAGGAAGATGTATGTTTCTACACAGTAACTGTCCAGGGTTTTGGTAGATTGGAGATGTGAACTTTGCTGGACTACTTAAGTCTTACAGTGGGAAAATAACATGTAGGAGTCTGTTATGCCTTACATGGTCTGAAGAAGTCAGATCAATTTGTCAGTACAGATCCTTAAACTTTCCTGTTCTGTCTACTGAATCTCACTTCAAGTCAGGACAAGGTTTGTGCATAATTTCTGGATAGTTGCACTTCACTGTCTTACTTTTGGCTGTTGAAGCACCCTGGTTAAAAGTAGTTTTTCACTGCTGAAATGATTTGTCCTGCTGCAGAAATGCTTCACTGAGAAGGAAAAGGCATTATCAGTAAATATGAATTGATGAGGACTTTAGACTGCTTTTATGAATAAACATTTTCAATGGTCTGAACTTCTAGAAACTAAATACAAGTGAAAAGTTAATTTGAACCTTAGCCAACTTCTCAACATCTCCAGCACCACTCCCTGAACAGGAGACGGAGTTGCTACCTGTGAAATTTACAGGATGATATGTCACCCTAAGTTTATAAAGGGAAAGGAGGTAATTTGTGGTTGGCAAAACACAGCAGACCTACAGAGAAAGGGAGAATCACACAGTCCTATAAAAGTATCAATTCTGTTGTAGGTGGTTTTTTCCACATCTAGTAAACTCATGAAAATTGGTTCAAGCTCATTTTTTGAAGGTACATTATAGGCCTTTCTCAAGCATCATGACTAAAAGATGAGAATAAGTAATTCAGGGGAAAGTATTTATGCTTGAGTAGCTGGTTATGTTTTCATCTCAAAGCTTAAAAGGTGCCAAATTACCCACCAGCTCTGTTGTGCAACCTAATCCTTTAGTCCTGCATCCCAAATGCCCCTCCCAACCTTTCCAAAGCACACAAAGAAAAGAATTGTGGTAGACCTCTAGTTCTGTGAGAATCTCACATTTAAACACTTCTGAGATTCACTAAAGCAGTCCTTAAACTCCTTATGGAAAAACCTGTTCTAAGGTGAAGTCATTACAGATTTCTTCTCTTTTGTGCACTGTAAATCAGGGGCTTAAACACTGAGGTCACCAGGATGAATGCCAGCATCCTATGCTATGTTGGCATTGTAGCCTGCCTTGAGTACACACTTGAGCTCCCCATTTCTGAGGAGCATCTTGAAATTGTTGTCAAACTTCCCTATTTCATCTTCTCCTGTAAAACCCCGTTTCAAAAGCCAATGATTCCTTTAGACTGTGGGCACCCAGATGGTCCAGCAAGATTTCAGTCTCATAGAAGCTCTCTAAGAGAGACTTAAAATGTTTGCATTGTCACCTGTGTATTATAGGTATGTGTTTATCATATGGCTTAGAGTCCTGGAAAATTCTGTAAAAATTCAAGCTGGAATGCTTGAACCACCATCACTAGTTAATATCATTTATTGAAGTTACAAACTGCAGTACATAGGAAACCTTCAAACCAACGCTGCTGCCTGCCTTAAATACTTTTTAGATTGGCAGCAGAAAGCTAAAACATTAAACCATGTCCTCATACATACAGGTATTGCAGGTGTGAGAGCAAACTGAGATCTCTGAGATAAAAAAGTCTTTGTCCCTTAAGAAATCCTTAAAGGAAATAGATCACATTTTGAAAGACCAACCCAAATACCACAGGATTTACTTCTGTTAAAGCTAGAGAGGACACTGATTATTTACTTCCCACTACTGACCTTTCCTTGTCCTATAGGCTGCATTGTTTCCTGCCTTTTTGGAAGTAGGAAGGAAAACTTTCCAATTAATACTGCCTCTATCCCATGAATACTTGGCATGCCTTCAGTCAGGTGGTCCGTCTGCTAAGCATTTAGTCAAACTTGGAGAAGTTGTTCTTGACATACATTTATCTTCAGTGGTTGATTCATACTTCAGTCAAATAAGTATATATATTATATATAAGTATATATAAAATAAGATACTACCACCAGCTTTACAAATATCTTAGAGTATCGTGACTATAATAACACTACTTCTGTAAGGACAATGTAATTCCAACTCCAAAAGATCCTAATTTTGGTTAAATGGAGTTTTGTGCATTCATAGAACTTTGTTTATTTGGTGTGTGTGTGTGTTCTTGAGTTTTTCCACTTTTAAGGTCTCTGTATCCATATACACAGGAAGTAATTGTAATCTAGAACCATAATGGTTTTTTTTCCCCCTCTAACTATCAGAAGACTTTTGAGCCTCTTGCAGATTTCTGTACAGAAAAGAGAGCAGTTTTCATATTAGATTTTACTTCATTAGGTAAGTTAGAGTTCAGAACCTTGCGAGCATGTACATTTGAGTAAGGCAACTCTTGAAATCTAAGCCCAAGATAGCGCTTTTCAACTGTAGTCCTTCATGGGTTTTGTACCCCTAAATACAGAACACACAACATGTCAACTGCTATTAGAAAAATAATTGTATTTTTTCCATACTAGAAAAAAAGCTGTGGAGTAGATACTGTAAATGGATATCCCACTGCAGGCTGCTTGTACAGCTTACCTCCATGTTAAAGGCAAGCAGAGCCAGTTGTGGTGCCTCTGTAGGATTCCCTTAGGGGAATGTAGTGATGGGGTTTTCTGTTGTTCGGGAGAGAGGCCGAGTGAAAGCCTCAACTTCAGCATTCTCTGCTTTTGCAGCTGTCACTTTGTTTGTTGCTGATTCTACTGTGGTGAAAATGTAACTGCCCACTCAAAAATGTGTGTATGGATACATTTTAGAAGAATGGTATGTAATGCCACCTTGCTGTTCCATAGCTTGTTGTGTTCTCTGGTGCCTTGCGGAACCAGTGGTGATGTTGCCAGTATAAATGGTTTGCTACAATACTTTCTGCTGTTGTGTTACACAGCGCTTTGTGCCTTGAATTGAAACAAGGTTTCCTCACACATACTTGCCTGCGCAGAGGGAGGGGAAATATTTTTTTTCTCCTGCTGTTGTCCTGAGAAGTTTAAAGGCACCAACTGTATGTGTTCAGCTTACCAGGAAACAAATGGGTTTTGCTTATGCATTGAGCTGGTGCTGAAGTTGATTGCATGGGAGTTACAATTATGAAATCGTTGGAGCTGCTGCCCTGCTATTAATTAAAGCAATACTGAGTTTTTGCAGGCTTGCATTTGGTTAGAGTGTCTGGGGCATTCTGGCTGCCCTGAGAGGCAGAGGTTTTAATGATTTACTGGCAGCACTATTTAAGTTGCAGGTACCTGCCTAAGGAGGTAGAATACAGCATGTCAACTGTCCTCAGGACGCCTTGTATGATTTGAAATTGGGAATTAAAGTGACTAGATGAAATAGGACTGACACTGCTAGGGAAAAAGCTGAAATAATGACACTCACAAGGTCAATTTTGTGAATTGATGGATTGTCTGTCATTGCTCGCTAGATTTGATAATTCAAGGGTGGTTTTAATAGAATGAGAGGATCTGGACAAGCACATTTTTCAGAATCTCTGAACACTTGAGCTGTGGTCTTCACTACCTGATTACAGCCAGTCTTGGACAGTTAAATTGTTGATCAGAGAAGGATATGATTATGTTCTGTTTACTGAACATGTTGCAGAGTTGTACTTGTTTCCTTTAGTTGCTGAGTATGCCAGCTGTCTGGAGCATTTAATGCATTTACTTCTGGCCTGGCTTCGCCCTAGTCCTGCCTAGTTCCTTGCATCACACACTACCTTAAATACTGTCTTCCTGTGTTTCAACTTGACTTCTGACCACAGTCTCATCTTGGCTGCGTATTTGGTATGTTTCTCAGCTTCTCTTTGCAGACCTTTGGCCCTGCTCTTGACTTCCTTGCACAGATTGACTTGGTACAGCCTTTGAATTTTCAGATTTGTGTGTTTACTGAACATGAAAATATGTGATGAGAGTAAAGGTCTGTGTAGCCTTGTGCTCCGTTTTCAGAAGTGGTTAAGAAAGGACTACTGAGTTAGCCTTCCTCTGGTGTGTATTTTCAGCTTTTTACTGACAACTGAGAGTTTCAGGTTCACTTAAATTGTTGGATTTAACCACTAAGGGCCTAGTAGCTGGTGTCTCACAGGATCTTCAGTTGCTGTTTAATATTAAAACAAGAATTCTGTCAGCTTTTTAGTCCAATGTCTAAGGAAGTAAGGTTTAATAAAACCACCCTAATAGGCTAATTCAACAGGACAATTCAGCAGGACAAATCCATAAGAAGCTAAGATTTCAGTTGCCTCTGTCTTTTGGCATATCACAGTAATTTTTCCTTGCACAGGGCGGTTTGTTGCTGTTTGTGGTGCCATTGTTATTCGTAGGATAACTCACCTTGTGTTCTTCTGGAGCTTAGTAACATTACAGTAGCTTGCTTTAGGAAGGGCTGTAACAGTAAAGTTCCCAGTTTTGCACTACTTGCCAGTACGGTTTTCATATACAGATGACATCAGTGTAGTCCAATGTTTTCTATCACGCTGCCCAAAGAAAAATCTGTCTGCTTTGTCTGCTTGCTTAATTTCATGTGTTATAAATAAGACCCTGCTTTCAGCATGTCCTCAGAAAAGAGCCTGGAAGTTCTGGAATTATCTTATTCATTCTTTGGCCTGAAGTAACCTAAATTCCATCATTTGGGCCTAATGTAAAAGAAACTTCCAAGTGAAGGCTAGGGATGCTGGATATTTTTCTCTCCTTTATAATGTTTTTGCTATGGAATAGCATTTACAACAGTGGAGCAAACTCAGGAGTAGGATCACATAGAAGAAAACAATTATGATACCAAGTATGGTTTCCTTTGTTATTTTTATTGCTTGTTCTGGTGGTTTTTTTCCCTATTCTTTGAATGTTAGTCTATTTGTGGTTTGTTTTGGGGCTTTTTTGTTTGTTTTTACCTTGCCTTGGCAGTTACCCAAGCTGGCCATCTTTGCTCCCCTGACAAGCATTGTTCTATAGATATCGTCTAAGAGCAGGCACGTAGGAAAAGTACAAGAGTAAGGTAACTTCTGATACGCTGTCTCCTGAGCTGTGACAACTTGTTGGATAATATTCCAGAGGCTGGCTGAATGTTTGGGAACTTGCTGTAAGGTTTGACAGATTAGTTTCTCAGAACCTTCAGAACTGAAGGATTTTGGTGAGTTGGTGGCTAAACTTCCAGTAGGATAACACCATAACCAGAAGGTTTTGCTGAGTGCAGGGCTGTAATTCCTTACACTGTTTTTTCTTCACACTTTAAGCACTGGCTGATCCGTTAATGTAGCAAGTCTGTCCTTGACAAAAGCAGATTATACGGTGTCAGTGAACTCCCTTCACAGTGGCTGGAAAAATGAATACTGTATTTGGGGCAAGTAGAATAGCTAATGTTTTAGTGACTCTTGAACCCTCAAGTAAGATTACATGATAGAAAAATTATTAAAAGGTTTTCAAAGACAACCTGCTTAAATGAAGGCATGAAACACTATATTTGAAGGTGTTTCTCTTGTAGTGCTTTCAGACACTGCAAAAGGGCTGTATGGGCTTCTTATTATTTTGAAAATTGTCTTTGGTGTCCTTGTGACAGACATACATGGAGAGTATCTTGTGGATTGATTTCTGATTTTTGTTCATGTTCTTTTTGTGTCTGGCGATGTACAAGAGGTTTCTCACTGAGCCAGGAAAAGGATGTCTGAGATCTCATTCATCTGGTATGAGGAACAGGCAAACAAGTGACAACTGAGAAAAGGAGCATGCCTTTTCTGCTGACACTGATTCTTCACAAAAAACAACATCAGTGTATGTAATATCTTTGGTGGTGTAACATTAGTGGAGCTGAGATGTCATAGAAGACAAAAGCTGAAAAGACAGAGGCAGTTTGACTTACAGGATGTCTTTTGCAAGCACTTATTTAGCAGGGCGATTCCTGCTGCTTTGCTGGGCTGGGAGTTGTGATAGATTTTGTGATTTTTGTGGAAGGAGGAAATGGTCTGTATATAGCCACAGTTGCATGGTTGCAGAAAACTGCATAATATGTAGCATCATGTTTTACATTATCTGTGTTGTATGTATTGATCTATTAAAAATTGAAAAAGTACAAAATGCCAAAATTGTGAAAACTGTTTTCCTCACAGAAACTTATGAAAATATTTTGATAAAGCCGCAATAATTCAGCAGAGTATTTGATTTTACAGTGTAATGTAGTAAAGTAGTTACATTCTTCTAACAAAAATTTTTGTCCAGAGGACTAATTGGGGGGGGGAGGAGGAATCTTTTTCAAACAAAAGGAAAATAAGGGCTGGTCCTTGATTTTGTTTTCCCTCCTCTTCAGCTCTGATCAAATATATCCGACCAGTATTTGTATCTCGGGCAGACCAGGATTCTCGCAGGAAAACTGTTGAAGAGATAAAGAGGCGTGCCCAGTCTGGTGGTAAATGGCCACAGGTACTGTATTCTGCTACTCTGTAAGAGATAGTATTTGGCATTTCCAGGCTTTGGATATGCAGTTTACTTTCTTTCATTGTGGGTGGCTTTAGATGGTGTGGGGTGGTGTGTGGGTTTCCTCCACTCCCTCTTTCTAGAAGATAAAATGTAAGATTGTCATCTGTCTCTCACTGGATTGTGTTTCAAGGGAAACTGGGTAAGTACATTACAGCTCTTAAGTGGTACTAAATGGACAGACCACAGCAGGTGAGGAATTTCTCTAAGAAGAAAAAAAATGAAGTGCTCATCAGAATACCTGGGGAAGCACTGTGTGTTCTCACTCTTCACAGGATTTTGGCACTGCCATTGTTGATGTGATGCTGGGCAAGGCAGCCTGAAAAATTCGTATGTTCCCATACTACATCTATTAAAATATGTGATTAAGGCATGGATAAAATAAGTGGCTCAGGGGTTTTTTTTCTGCACCTAAAATGTGGCTGTTTAGGGAAGGAATGGATGACTATTTAAGATCTCACATTCCTAGAACCATGTGATTATTTTGCAAATTTGAAGCATTCCTATGATTTTTGTTGAGATTAGGGTACTGTATGTTTGTTATGGGATTATTGCTGCTAATAGTGGGTATGCCTCTGCACACTGGACTGCAAAAATGTTATAAACTGCTATAAGCAATGTGACAGGTGATATGTAGCTTTTGCATCATGACTTTCATCATTAGATTTCAAAGCAAGCTAGGACAGAATGGGCAATAAAACTAGTAAGGTTAATTTTAGTCCATTGCTTTGTTCTCTTATGATATGGATTTGGGGTGGGAGTTGTGTTTGTACTGTCTACCCTCTTCTGCTGAATTGGTTCAACTTAAGCATTTTTTTCTTTTTTCCTAGAAATCTGTTCAGGTATTTTCAGTCCCTGTCATTTGGGAAAGAGAAAATAACTGTCTTTTCTTAGCCTGTAAGCAGGTAGCCTGGGAGCAGGAATTTTTTTCTGGTACAAAACAAACTGATAGTTTTGCCAGCACCAATATCTCCAGTGAAAATACTCATACTTAACAAGTGTTTCTGGTCACTGTCAGTGTTCCAATAAATATAATTATTATTGGAAAGCAAAAAAGAGGCATAAAGAAAAATAATTTTCCTATTAAGGTAGAACTTTACTTGACATCTTTAGCACCTTTTCTTTTTTGCTCCAACTGAACTGTTTTTCCCTGAGAACATTTTTGCTGTAATCAATTAATAACAGCTTTGAAAAGATGTGTTTATAAATAAGTTCACGTTGAAATAGTTCTTAAAAGTCAACTTTTTTTTTACTTCAAGATAATGATATTCCCAGAGGGCACTTGCACAAACCGATCCTGTCTAATTACATTCAAACCTGGTAGGTATTATGCTCATTTCTCTGTTCTCTACAGAATGTCCTTGTATCTTCATTTTCTGAAATACCACTTGCATTTTAATTTGCTTGCTGTTGCAGAAATTGAGTTAAAAACCTCGCAGTAAGGTGAAATTGGAATATAAATTTTCTGATGCTACAGGAAGATTGTAATTCCACCACTGAACAAAATGATTTTGATAATTCAGGTTTTTTCTTGACTTCTGAGATGCATATGAGGTGGAAGAGTAATGTTTCTTCCTGGGTTTTTGTTTATGATTGTGTCTTTTTGCTGGTTTTTTTTTTTTTCTTTCTTGCCCCCTCCATATCCTATTTTGGGTCTGTCACGCAGCATTTAGTTACTTGCTGCTGCCTTAAGCTTTATAGTGTATTTTTTATGTAACATCCATGTTCTAAGCTCTTTTCAGTGGTATCACCCTTTTTAGTTTATCAGATTAGTAGAGGGTGTGACACTGAACATTGCTGCAGCTGTAAACTGCATTTCCAGTAGGAATAAATGACAGTACTGCAGTAAACCACTAACCTTTAATGTAAACTTGCCTTTATCGTGTAGGTAGGAAGATGGTCAGTGAAGAAGCTTCAGTGAGCAAGGCAGTTGTGAATGTGTTTTTTTGACTTCCTAGTTTTTTGCCTAGTTTCTGGTCTTACTGTGTGTCTTGTATTTTGTTTGGCTTGCAATTTAAATAGCACTCTTAGAATATCTTGCAGTGAGTCAGCATTGTGGTTCCTTGCACTGATTCATTTGGCTGAAGGAATCTCAGGCTTTTCTCTCAGCTCTTACCTTTTTAGATGAATAAATGGTGATGAGGGAAACATCCACTTCTGTAGCTCTTTGCTCTCCTCTCTCCACCTGAATCCTGACCATGCTTTGAAAGCTAGCCTGAATCCTTCATGTGAAGTCCTGATTTCTTGCCCTCCCTCTGTGCCATAGACATTCCAGGTGCCATGTATTTCATCCTTACATTCTCACTCTATCTTCCTCTGCCCTGGTCTAGTACATGCTGCTGTCCGCCTCTTGACTGTCTCACTTTTCCTACTGAAACCTGCTTCTGTATCCATCCAGCCTTCCAGAAATCCTTTGCCTCAGAACTCCTCACTTATATCACATTACTTTAGGTCTCTGTTCAAGTTAACTCTATCAGGATGCCTTTCTCCATTCTACTAACATGGCCTACGCTCCTTGCTCTCACTACACATTTTCTTGGTTTTGTGTTTAAATGATAGTGTTATCATCTACCACTCAGCTTTTGTCAGCTTTGGGTTGTTTCAAAAGTTGCTTAGACTGTTCTTTGAGACTGATCAGAAGGTACCACTGGCCTCCAAATCTCTTAAGGATTCCACACAGCCCACTTCATTCAAAGATGTTTACACTCTGTAAAAAATTATTCCTTTTATGTCTTGACAGTTATTTTGTAACACAAATTTTATGCCAGGAATACAGTGTACTTCAATTTTTCCATTCTTAATTTTAATTGGAACATTAGGGAGACCTTAGTAAATTGTCATGAATAACATACTCTGAGTGAAAATCTTAATTTCTTCATGAGAGAAAGATATGTTAAGAGAAGTCTTGAACAAGATAGTTATCATGCTTACCCAATCTTTGTATTAGAAACCAAGAAAATGCTTAGAAAATGACATGGAACTTGTGCTCCTTATTTATCAGAACTCTAATTTTCCTATGAAGTGAAGCAATGCTTCTGAATAATAGCTCTAGGTCAATATAGCTCTAGTTAAATATATAACTATTAGGTTTTCCATAGCTACAGAACAGAAGTGACATTAATTCTGTTATTTCAGAAATGATAAATTGCCTATAAATTTCTGTTGTTCAGATAAAAGTAGAAAGCTTATTTTACATAAGAGCCTAAGGTCAAATATTGTTGACCACAGGGAATAAATTAACTTAACCATCTAGTGCATGCTCATTTTTTTATTCATTTATTGAGCTGAATTCTTAGCTTTGACTTGTGTAAATGTGTATTTTGACTTGTGTAAATGACAATATATGTAAGTGCTAGAGGATAATTTAGATAATGGAAGCAAACATTTTTAATTGCCTGTGTGCTGTAAAGGTGGATATACAGTGTCATTCTCCAGTACATGCTTTTTAGTTACTTTTGAGGCTACTTTCAGATCCTGTTTTTTCACCATCAGCTACTTCTTAGGAGTCCATTAGCTGTATAACTTTTTCTTGCTGCAGTAAATTTGCTCTTTACCAAAATGCACTATAAGTTAATTATGTATCATATGTGCCTTCTAGGAGCGTTTATTCCTGGGGTTCCTGTGCAGCCGGTTGTTTTACGTTATCCAAACAAACTGGTAAGTTCAGCTTGCAGTGTCATTGGAAATTCAGGGCATTTTCCTTTAAGTGCATTGGCCCTTGTGTAACCTTTTAGGTTTAAAAATTCAAAAGTCATTACTAAATTATTGTTGGTTAAGTATTTCTTAAGTCTCATGCAATATAGGGAGTCTTAACTGAGACAGTTTAAATGTTTCTGCGCTGAAAGTTGTTCAGGTTGTTACAAGAAGCACTCCGCAAACTATGAAGCAAATGGCAATTTCTGCCCTGGATCTGTGTTCCAAAGTGCTCCTTGTTCCTCCAGTGTGTGCTGGAGAGTTGTTTTAATGCCATTTATTGCTGGAAGATGTTTCTGCATCTCCTGCCTTTGGGGGTGTTAGTCACGAATTCCTGTGACTGGCTGAATGGTATAGGATAATGTGTTGAGGATCTCTGCACCTTTATGAAGTGTCATCTCTAGTTTACATTCACCATGCCTTTGGCTAAGGAATTAGCTAATTTAGAGCAGTCCTCCAATGTAAATTACATTCAGATAAAATGCAGGTTATAGTGCTTATTTACAATATCTGAAGTTTCTTTTTGAGCCTGCTGGGGCTATTTTCATGTCCAGTCTGTCCCCTTCTGAAGTAGAAGTTACTTAGGGAGGGTGTCAAGTGTGTCAGAAGTAAAATAAGGACCACCTGGTCTCTTTTACTCATGCATGTCACATCAGAAGATCTCTGACTAGACCATTAACAACAACAACAACAAAAATAATAACCCTTGTTCTAAGGAAGAATTTTGTTTCTTCTTGGTAGCTGAGTAGCTTACAAATATTTCCATCCATTGTTCTTTCTGTCATTTACAGGTTGATATTAAACAAGTGCTTGATTAAAAAAGAAAAGGATCCAAGCAAAGTTAATTTACACAGACCACCATTTGCTCTTGGCTGAGACAAGGTGTAATGGCAAATAGTTTGCAGTAAAAAACCCAAAAATTGTCTTTGCAGATGCTGTGACAAAAATAGCAGCCTGATATGCTTGCATAGTATCAAGTGCATAGTAGCAGGCTGCCTGGGACTTTTCATTACATAATCGTTATATTTTCAGGAAGAAAGATTCTTTTCTAAAAATAGTTTGAAGTTTTGATGGCACTGCCATTTAAAATGGCAAATATGCTCATAGCTTATGTCATCCTTAATATGCCTTGTAACTTTTTGTTACTGTTAAGCTCATAGCAGTATAAAGCTATCAAATGTTATTTTGTAAGTATCTTCAAAATCAGGTGCATACTGAAATGTCATTATTGCCTGTAGTACTTAATATGCAATGTTTTTAAACCAATAGTAAATGCTCCTAACACTTTATTAACAGAAATTTGTGAACTTTTAATGTTGAGGTAAAACAATATAAACATAAATGAAAATTTTCATAATTTTTGTTACTGCAAAAATGTCATAAAAAATTGTAACTAGTTATATATATATCCACTGTGAGCTGGCATGAGTTTGTGTATGGGACTTTACTTTTTCCTACTACTTTTAATTGCTGTGAAACACTTAGTTTTCAGTGCCTCACTGAGTCATTTAACCTTCTATGATCTAATTCCTAGAGACCTTCCAAAGGCCTAAGCATTAATGGCAGAGATGATAATTGCTATTAATGCTTTATTTTTTACGTTAGCTTAGGGGTTGCAGAAGATTTGTATCAGAGTTAGAAGGAGGAGAGGCGGAAGGAATATGATGTGGTACACGAAGAGGAGGTTTATTTTGGTTATGGATTTATGGTTATGATATGGAGTTAGATGATTTTGTTTCAATTATTGAGCTATTCTTATCTCAACCTGCAAGGCAAAGCTTACCTTTCCTTCTCAATTCTCTTGCCCACCCCAGTGGAGGAGTGAGAGAGCAAACAGCTGCATAGTGCATAGTTGCCAGCTGGGATTAAACCACAACACATGTAAGAACAGAGTAGGGAATGAATATTGGTGTTCATACACTAACATACCATTTTTAGCATTTAACTTTAAATGTCCCTGGCTTTCTATTTATTGTCTTGTTTGACTGATGCATAGTATAATTTTAGTTTAGAAAGGAACATGTTAAGATGTTTGCTTAGCCAGTGAACTCCAGATATACATTGTGTTCAGTCACCCCACTGTTTTGTTTAGATTGCCTGATCTATGTTCAGAGCTTTTAGTTCCACAGCATAGGTGAGGACAGTCTTAGATTTGAGTGCATCTGGCTGTTTTGAGAGGCTTTTTGAGATCAGAGCCTGTGGAGAATGTAGTAGGTGTCTGCACTCTGGTATGTTTATTTCATTGTAGTCTATTGAAGAGCTAGGGAAAGCACCACTGTTCTGCAGTGTGCTGAAACATGGCAAAAGTGAAGAAGTAAATTCAAGTTTTTTTCTAGCAAATAAATCTAGTTCTGGTTGCTGTGAAGAACTCTGTTTTATATTTTTAATAGTTGAGTTGCTCCCTGAATAACAATCATCTTGGGGCTTTTGACTATTTGTATTAGATGATATCTCTGGTCCTCTATCAGTGCTTTTTGGTAGTAATATTTTAGCATGTTGCTCTTCTTGATACATGAGCAGAAAGAAATTTTAAGGCTATAAATGTTGTTTAGACCTGAAAGTCAATATTTGCTACTAGCTGTCTAGATTGGTAATGTTTTAGGTATTGGATGCCTGAGAGCTATTACCTGTATTCTAGTTAGAATAAATGCTCTAATGTCTTCACCCATAGGTTCTCTACTGCAATCCTTTTTATAATTTTTTACTTATTCTCTTTGTTTCTTCATTTGAATTTTCTGTCAGAGTGTTGTTACTTAAGAAATTATGAAAATATATAAGCTATATACCTGTTTAAATATTACAGAGCCATTTAAAATGTATTTTATGTCCAAATGTCTTCCACAAGTAACTGTGCTATTTGATAAGAGGTTTGGCAGCAGTTCTTACCCAGTTTTGGTATATCAGGGTTAACTGAACCTGTAAAAACACGGCCAATCTCCTGTTTGAAGGTTGGCATACGAGTCTCGGTATCTTCTTGTGTCAAATACACTCTGTGGAAGATGGCTCTTCTCCCTGTTTCCTCCCATGCCGAGGGGAAATAACAGAGGGGATAACGCTCAAGGTCAGGTTGGATGGAGCTCTGGCCAGCAGGATGTAGTTGAAGACATCTCCACTCATTGCAGGGGAGTTGGAATAGATGGCCTTAAAAGGTCCCTTCAAGCCAAGCTATTGTATCATTTTATGTACTTCCACACAATTTGAAGTATTCATTACTTAGATAACAGTAGTTTGAAAGTGTACTCAGAATGCTGTCAAAGAGAATGCTGTCCAGTAGCATTGGTAGCTGTGATAAACATAAAACTTAGTTATGTAAGGAAAAATCCTACTTCCCTTTGTCTGCTTGTTGTTTTTATCATAAAGATATTGGTTATGCTGGTAGGAGTCTCCTATAACATGGATCTGCCTCTTGCAGATCAGAATCCTGTTTTCCCCTAGATGGCATTTCTGGCCATTATCCCTGAGGCACCCTGAAGTTCTTACAAGAAAAAGCATGCCTCTCCACTATGACATTCACATCGGGAATTTCTTGCAGGATTGTTGATAGATATGTGGCTTGCTTAAGTTTGACTTGCCAGCTAGCCAGCATGAGGCTGGATTCTGAAAATATCTATGCACTGTTCAATGATCCAGACAATTTTGTGGTGATCACATTTTTCTTTATTTCCCTCTGTGCTGTTGCAATTTAGAGAGCTGAGCTGGAGATGTATAGTGCTTGGTGTTCTGTAAAGCAGATCAAGTCTCTAGATAAGTTATCAGCTATCTACACTGGTTTCTCATGGTTTATAATGAAAGCTCCTCAGGGGAAAAAGACAAACCTCATAATGTGTTTACTTGTAGTGTTATCAGAGACATCAAAATAGCCAGAAATAGTGTAACAGTAAAACTATGCACATTATAGTTCTGAAAGATAACTACATGGAGATGGGTTTTTTCAATACAGATAAATTGATTGTTGCAGATGGACTCATCCTTTATTATATTTTGTTTGATTGGAAATAATCGCTAAATGTCAAGTTTTAAATTTTTAGTGGATCTTTGTGACATATTGACCTTACTCTCCAAGCTGTTGTTCTATCATTAACAATGTTTTTCTCTTTTTATGGATGGGTTTGCTTTCTTTTATTTTTACTTTTGGTAGCCTTTTGCTCTAAATGGTAATTCAAACTTGAGTTTAACTTGATTTTTCATGGTCAATGGCACATGTGATCACCTGAAACCTCTAGAATAGATTTGGATTGTAGCATAGAACTGAACTAGAAAGTGTTCAATAGGTTGAAAAAATAGCTTTCTGATCAGGTCTTTCAGAAACCTGAATTTAATGAGTCCTCTTGTCTTTACAGTAATGACTTGAACTCTTTTTCCCAGTTAGAACAGAACTAATTTCCAGGTTTTTAAATTCTTTCTTGTACACTTAAATCACATCTCCAAGTAGTGAACTTTTTTTCCTGTGCTATTTCTTAGTATTACTTAAAAATGGGATGACTTTTATTGTCATATTACTACCTGTTATATGTTCCTTTACAGGTCTCTGTTCCATTTTTTGCTATTTGCATCTTGTTTGCTTCTTTTACTGCTATTTGTCCTCTCTTAGTGTTTCACACAGTGTTCATTTTGGCCACATAGCTGTATAGAAGATGGGCTGATTCCTCACAGGGTTAAGAACTTTGCAAAGGAAGCACAGAATTTCCATGAAAACTTCTCAGTCATATATTGTTAGTTATGCTGTGTGCAATGTAAAAAGCTGAAAGCACAATAATTAATTGCAAATGTCACACTTCTTTTCTTAGGACACAATCACATGGACATGGCAAGGGCCAGGAGCGTAAGTGGTTAATGTTTTATTGCTTTTATCATTGCTTTCCTCAATTAGTTTTTATTTATATGACTTACATAGTCAACCAATTGCTGTTTATTTGATTATTCTTTGGGTTTAATTTATCTTTTATCTGTTACTCTGTAATTATTCTAATAGTCATTAAGAGGATTCCAGGTAGAAACAAAGTACTTCTGCTGTTATGATTCTGTCGGTTTGCAGAATGAATTTTAGGTTTTTATTTCAGTTTTAGGTTTTTTTTAGCCAAGTGCCTGAAGTAAAGCAACTTGCTTCTGCTCGACATATTCTATTGACTGCAAGTTGATTTGGTATCATACTGTATAAAATCTAAGGCTATTGTTTGAAATTGGTCTACTCTCGTGAAAACAGTCAATCCACTCAAAGAATTTGGACATACTGTTTCCATTATCTTGCCTGAATATAATTTCAACCTTTTTTTTAAACAAAATGTTATTCTAGAGGTTCTTTGGCAAATTCATGTAATATAAAATATTAAGCAAAGCAGTTCTTGCTTGTTTAAAACAAAATTTTTAGCTTTATTTTCTCATTGGGATTTGAGTAGAAATTCCAAAATGTTTAGATGAAGATGAAAACCACAAATTTTGAACCCTAAACAAAGGGGAGTTGGCTTCTGTGGTTAAGGCTTTGTATTATTTTGAACGTCCCATGTGAGATCCTATGTTTTAGTCGTAATGAGGAAACTACGGGGATTAGCCAAGATTCAAGTAATTTAGAATTTTGTCAATTAAGTTTTGCACTTAGGAACCAGGTCTAATTAAGGACATGATTTGGAGACTTGAGGAAATCATTGATCACTTCCAAAGGTTCAGCTTACAATTAATTTGTCACATTGGAAGTAGATGAGTCCATGGTTGTATATAAGGCATATAGACACTGCAGCATTTGCTGCATAAAGGACTTTCTGTTCTCATGAGCTCCTACCTCTTCCCTTGCATTTGCACTGCAATTCTGTAAAAATGTAACTCAGCCATAGAAGAGACAGCTGAGTAGCTTACTTCCACCTTAGTATCCCAACTAAGGACTGAGGAGCACAGAGGAAAAGGGAAGAAACTTGTGTGTTGCCTCAAATCACTATCATTTCTACAAAACCCTTATTCTGAAGTGTTGACCTCTGCTAATAAAATTAAATTAAATTAAAGCTGAATCAGAATCTGCAGCAGCATGTGATATTATACAAATTGACTGGGTCAGTTTAAATTACAGTTTGGCTTAATTAGGATTAATTCTCCTGGGTGACCTAAAATGTATTTGTGATGTCATAGCAGAAAATACTATTAAGACTGATAACAGGCTTCGTTTTCTCAGCAAACATATCTTTTCTGTTTTAGTTAGCCAAAACATAATCTAGAAATGTTTCTATATGTAGGAATATTCTGTTTGTTTAAAGGTGCTGTAGCTTGTCAGATGGATTGAAAACTTGTCACATGCAAACTTGAACACTCTTACACTCATTGAAAGTAACACTTTTACTACTTTGACAGTATTCAGTGCAGATCAACTGAGTCCACCTTGAAAAAAAAGAATGACTGTAGTTGAGTTAGATACAGGTTCTATCAGTTTTAAATTTTTATTTAAATTCAGGGTTTAGTCTTTTAGGATTACAGAGATGACAGAGAGAAAAGTTTACTTGTAACTTATTGAGGATTTTTAATGCGCTTGAGCAAGGATCTAGAAACCAGACTTTTGTGTTTCTTTTGGGAACGTAAACTTCAAATCCCAGACTTCATTGTTCCTGGTTATTTTCTTTGCTTTAATGTGTTGGAAGCTCAATAAGAAGGAAGAGGGGGAAATATTTTGCAACCCTATATGGGTGTATAACAAAATGAGTAGGGTTTTGCTTCTCGGAGCTGTGCTTTATCTACATAAGAGGATTTTGACTACTGGTCCCCTCACAATGATTGACTGCTGTAACTATATAGATACTGTATGAAAATGTGGCTACTTGACACTGCTCCTTAGTTTAGGTTTACTAAATCCTTGCCTGGATTTGAATCCTAATGCTTTCTAAGGTCAAGTTGATTCCAGTTATCTTGTATCTTAGGCTATTAAAACACACGTACTGCATTTCATTAACTGACTTTGGAAGTATAATGAACTTTGATTCCAAACTGAGGTAGTGATAAAATCTGTGGTTACATAATTAATCTTGCCAATTCTGTGCTGAATGCAGCATTTTTCTGAGACAGTTATTCTTCCTTTAACACATACTGCATATATTACTTTTCACTGTTTTTCTTCCTGGTTTTGACTATTTTTTAAATGCCAATTCAGCGTAAACTACTTTTTTTCCACATTACAGAATGTAATATGTAGAAGTACTTTCAAAGGCTTCTGAATATGATCATACTTACAAGTAGGATGCTATATGAAGACTTTGGACCGTAATGTATTACAGTTTCACTACATATAATTTTTTTTCCTCCATCCTTCCCTATCTTCCCCTTTTAGGTTTGAAATTCTGTGGCTTACTTTATGTCAATTTCACAATTCTGTGGAAATCGAGGTCAGTAAAAAAAACTCCAGTGTATTCTGAGCAGTTGCAGAATGCATAATATTGTACTTAATTCTGCAGTAAAAGTTTGCATTCAAATCTTGTATGTATGTCTGTAAAAACAAGTTAAGATACCACTTATATTTTAGACAAATGGCTTCTGCATCTGAAAATATAGTCTAAAAGTGGAATAGCAAAATACAGTTTTCCAGTTGGCATAAGGCTTTCTTTCTTTACTGATTTGAATTGAGTAGGTAAAATTCTGGCTCAGTTTTAAGAGTCCTTAGAGAACAAATTTCTTGTCTTCTAATGGCCTGATGGCTGTTTTAAGTAGTCTACCAACTTTATATGTTAGACATTCAAGTGTGTGAATGCTCTTATACAAACTAAGGACTGTCTTGTAGAGAAAAATTGTAGGTGGTTTCTTATAGGCCACATAAGTTATTTAATGTCTGGCTAATTTTTTTATTAAGCTGTAGTGTTCAAAATGTTAAATTGGAAAATACAAAGATAATCTATCTATATTCCTAACTTTGTATGGAGAAAAATAATTTTAAGGCTGAAGACTATTGCAGTGAAAATGTGGAAACAATTACAGCCTTTCCTTTCAACTTTGTCCTTATTCATTTTACACAGAGTAATTACATTTTTGTGGACAATTACATATTTCAAAAGTGTCATATAGGATATTTGACAGATGTTCCGCAGTTCTTTTGCCTTTTGAATAATAAAGCATCTCTTTAGCTCTGACAGATGGAACTGATGGCAGGGTAAAACAGTAGGAAGAACTATTGCATGTTTACATACACTGTTACAATAGTAACATAGATTGCATGCTAATCACTGTACTTGTCATTGCTCTGTGTTTGCTTATTTTTGCAATCAGTTATTCTCAAAATTGATGAATTTGCAAAATACCAGCCACTCAATAGTTGTATGTGTTGTAGAGATTTGTGGTTTGTGTTATCAATTTAGTTGAATAAAAAACAAATGTGATTTCCAGAAAAGTGGCCTGTGTTTTGCAGAAGGGCCAGGGAGTGACTGCTCACGCAGGGCTAAGACAAACCAGCTGGTTGGCAGAATTTTTACCCTATCTCAGGAGCATGGTTTTCTGCCCTAGGCAAGTAAAATGGGTTCTTACACACAGGAGTGAACACTGCTGAGCTTTCTTGACTTTTGAGGCAGCAGCTGCTAGCAGATGTTGAGTTTCTGTAGCTCTTACAGATCTTGCATAACAAGCTATGATCTTCGGTAGCTCTTGGGGGAAGAAAGCTAGTGACCTTCTGAAATATTCCATACTAAAGCTGGAGTTGGCAGGTGATAGAGGAGCAGACCTGTTTGTAAGATTGCTCTCAAGTATGAGGCAGAATACTTGAGAGCTACTTGTTGAATCTGTTTTTGTAAGGAAGTGCAATGAGGACTGGTAACATACAGGAGAAATTAGTTGTTTTGTGTTCAAAGTCATATTTCTTTCCCTGGTCTCTGAAGCTTATTGGTTGTCCTGCTCTGTTCCATCAACACAGAGATACTGGCAAATCCCTGCCAGCCTGGATACCACAGTTAGTGCTGATGATCCAATAACTCAGGGAGACATACTACAAAACAACACAGCTTCAGTGGTTTTTTGATTAAATGATAGCTGGTAAGGTTTAACAGCCAGCAATCAGAATCCAAAGTTAGCTAGTCTGAGCTTCTCTGCATATATTATATGTTCTGGCATATTGTGTGTGTCATTCAGTTTGTGTATGGAGAAGTGAGCATCTATGTAGGTTTTATAATAAATTTTTGTAAATATTGGCCCATCCACCCATCCTGTACTTAGAACTGGCATGCTGGCAATGTTAGGAAGAAGAAAGGATATATGATTATCTGCACATGTAGTTTTTTTTGGCTCATGTCTGTTTGTTTTACTGACCTGTCAACTTCAGTGTTCATACATCCATGACAGTCTGCAGCAGCTGAGAATTCTTCTCTTAGTTTTGTTAGTGATGTTGAAATGATTATGCTATTTATGTTGAGTTAGGCACAGACACGTAGAACACCTCTGAAATCACCTCATATTCAAACTTCTCCTGTGTTTGGACAAATTACTTGATAGCCATTTGCAACTCAAATAACTGGGATGAGGTTTGAAAGTTGAAGGAACAGTCTTTCCGTGTCTGTTAAAACCACAAAGACTGTGAAGTTGTGTATTACATGAGGCTGCTGTACCTGCTTGTAATGTAAACCTAGAAGAGAAGAGTCATATGTTTTCATCTGCAATGGGGCATATAGGGAAAATTCAGCAAAACACAAAATAAATTCAATAAAATATATTCAGATGAATATCCAATGAGTGTTTGGGTAGCGTTGATTGTACTGTTATATAATTTTAAAAACACAGCTAGCTTCATGGTTATGGAGAAGTATTTGCTGAAATTATAAACTTTAAAATAGAGACTAACAACATTACCCAATTGTTAGTTTCTATTTTAAAGACCAGTGTGAAATTTCTGGGTCATAATTCCCATTTTCACTACCCATAGGTAATTACATATGCTACAACTAAACTTCTTGCAGCTTTGTTTTCTAATTCAGAGGCTTTACACAGGATTATGATCATTTTGCTCTCTTAGTGCATAAATTATCCCATTGTTCTGTGCTAGTAAGAGAGCTGTCTGTCTGGTACTGAGTAGGAGTGGTCATCAGAGCAACCCCCTCTTGTTCCTCCCATCTGAGAAGTTAGTTACTTGGCAGAACTAAATGTTTTGGAGGTTCTTATTGGTGAGATTGGCCATGATCTTGGGGCTTATGTAATTTTTCAATGGACACTTAAAAACAGCTTAATACACTGGAAGATATTTTAATGTAGGCCATGCTGTTCTGAAAGTTGCCCTTTCTGTTGTGGTTCTCCAGCAGTTCTGTTTTAATTTTCCTGTTTCCAACATCAACTGTTCTTTGGTTCTCTGGTCATCTGCATTCATTTAGATTTTTTCTTTCAATGGAGTGTTAATGGATGATGTCCATTTTAAGGGAAAAAAATTTCAAAACATCCAACAGCAGAAAATAAAAACACTTGTCATGTGTACATTAGGCAGTCATACATGATTTCAAAATGTGCAGGGGGAACAATAAGTACCTGATGTCCTTAAAATTCGGATGCCTAATCTAGAGGAATATTCCTTTAGTGTGTGCTCTTTTTTTGGTTATCTAGAAAGTGCTGAACAATTCTGGATGTAAGTGAGGTTTATGCAAGAAAATGGTATTACTTCTAAATTATTTTAAAATTCTGAGTTCCATTTAGGAAATGAAGATAAAACTCTGCTTAGGTTCCATGCGGTAAGAAATAAGCAGTTAATGTTATATGAATTTCTAGAAGTATGACATATACTTTAGCATTTAAAAGTTTAATTTTTAATGTTTTCTGTAGTCTTAATGTAACTTTGTGAATAGCAACAAACTGTATACAATTTTCACCGTAGTGCTGTAAGAGATCGTTTAAAATGTTAAATATTTTTGGTATAATTCAGTTCTCTGTATGCAGTTTCTACCCGTGTATATTCCTTCAGAAGAAGAAAGAAAAAATCCAGTCTTGTATGCCAATAACGTCAGACGTGTAATGGCAGAGTAAGTATGTTATAATTCTGCATAAAATAGATGTGTGGTTTTAAGTTTAGATTGAAGAAAATATTATGAAATCCAGGCAGTGTGGTTGTCTGCCTACAAAGAACCTTGTAGTCTGCAGGAATGTCCACAAGACCTCTTACACAGCAGTTACTTTCCCTTCTGAGGAGGCCAGGGAGCCACAAATACAGCAAGAAGTGTAGGAGTTGATGGGTTTGGAATTTTTTTTTCTGGTTGGTTGTTTTGGGTTTTTTTAAACATGCCTCCATATAATAAGCCAGTTCTGCTTGCTCCAGTGAGTGTTTAGTCTTTAGGGGGAAGGGTATTGTTGAGTTTTAGGAAATTTAATGTACCTGAATTCTGTGCTATTGGGGTGTCATTTTAAGCTGTGACTGTTTTAACAGGGTTAAGAATAGTTTCATGTATCCATTGTTACCCTGTGGCTATTTCAAACTGTGAAATAAGCACATTAAGTGGCTTTACTTCCATTGGAAACAGAGGACTGATACAATGCAAATTAATTGAATTTAATGTGTTGACAGATAAAACACTTGTCTATAGAGTATAATAAAGGCAACATTTAATACATTCACTCTTTTGTTGCATTTTTATTAATGTCTTTTACATTTCTTTTTTGCTCTTTCAGTAAACCTTTCATTAGTCAGTACATAACTCTTTTCCATATTTACAGTGAACCCTCAGGCCTGTGATCACCAATAACTCTTGATAGGTTTATGTATTTTCCTAATCCCAATTTTGAAAGAACTTGTGAAATCATAATTTCTTTTTTCTAACTTCTCTTCCATTTCTAAGTTTCTGATTTAAGCCAAAGGCCATTTTGTAGGTAGTGAGAATTCTTATCTGTTTGAACCTGGGTCTGTGAGTTTCCTTAAGGATGTTGGGAGGATAATATAATAATAGATCCATTCTACAAAAGGACATTTCTCACAAGAGAAAAGAACAAAAGGACTTGTTTGAATCATCTTGTCTTGGAATCAAAAAATCTTTGAGGCACTGGCCTCAAAGACTTTTGTTGTTAATTAAAGACCATCACCAAGTGTTGTCCTCAGACTTTGTGTAGAAGGCCACGTTACTGAATCTTCATTCTGAACTCTGCTCTAATTAGATAACAGGGATGGTGTGCTATAAGGAAAAATTTTGAAAGCCTACAAAAGTTGACAACTGGCATGTCACAAGCTTTCCCTTCTAAGTGCACTTAGAAAAGGAAAGACATGATTATGTTTCTCTCTCCCAGCCCTGAAGAATTAAGCATTTGTAGTCATAGAAGAGGAATGCAGATCTAACAGGGAGACTGTCAGAATGAGAGATGTCAAAAAATACTTGCTTTGGGATGAGGCAGGGGCTGTAGATGCTGTGTTGATGTGAATGGGAAAACAAATGTGTTTGGATATCAAAGTTTTGAAGTTAAAATGCAGATGGGAATGAAACAGAATGTTGATGCCTGGATACCATGGATAACTGTAGACCAGTTAACATCAACATAGTTAAAAATTATTTACTTATGATCACTTCCAGATGCTTTCTTCTTGTGTCAATTCTCCAGACTTTCCCAGTTTATTCATGCAGCTTTTGGTACAGTAGATTCCATCTCAAATGCTGTCAAGGCTGTTCTGGAACTGTAGTAGTGGCAACTCAAGTACCTCGGGTGCTGTTGGGTGCTAGCATTGCACTCTGCATTGCTGGATAAAGGACAATATTACTGCTTCATCTAGATTTGTCTTGCTTTTCTTGAGGATTGAGTCAGTAGTGATGTAGCATCTTGTAGTCAAGAGGTCCTTTTGGGATCTATTTAGATGTCTGCTTACCCCTCCTCCCCATCATTTCTCTGGCAGAAGAGTCTAATTCCACTGGATATTTTACAGCATCAAAGGTGACACTCCCAGGTAATAATGTGAGTCTAGAGCCAGTGTTGTGGAAACCTTGTGTTCCACTCTTGATTTCAGAGGGAGTTGATAAAATTCCTGAGTGCAGCAATAGATACAGTTTCTGCTCTTGAAATTGTTTGCCTTCACAATAATCTTGATTTGTAAACAGCTTCTATTTAGCGTTGAACAAAGCATTTGACAAGACTGTATCTTAGGCTGCTTCTGCTTGTTGACTCTGAAGAATTTTTGGTTTACCTATATTTGACTAGCTTTTCTGTAGCTGGACACAGATGTGAGTGATGGTGGTCTCTAGATACTCAATTTATAGGTATAAGTGAACACAAACTATTTTGTTAAGGAGATGCTGTCATTCACAGAAGTTTGCTTCTTTAGGACATTAGTTTCTTGCACGTTGGATGAATGTATTTGCCCAAAAAGTGAAACCCAAAGTGTGCCTGTGTTATCAGAACTGGAACCACTCATATAGTATAGCCACAGCTGCTGAACATGCTTGCCATCCTTTGGGACATTTTCCTAATATACACAAAGGGTATGTGCAGAATAGATTAATCTGCTGCTTAAAATATGGTCCCTACTTACACCTTAACGATATGCTTCACATTTAATTTTCTCATACAACGTATTTTTGGAGTGAGTCTGTCTTGCTTGGTCTTTCTGGCCTTGTTCTGACTCCTACTCAGTTTAGTCAATGCCCATGTCACCCACAACATGCTATCAGGAGCTGTGTTTACAATCACTTTCAAATCACTAAAAATGTTGAGTGCTTTTAAATATGGCAACAGTCTCGGCCAGTTCTCTTTAAAATAAATAAAGTGGGGTGCTGTTCTGACCTTTAGTTCACTTCATGTGTTCTTTATTGCTCTAACAAAATTCTGAAACCACCCTACTAAGAAATGTCATGTTGATAAATATTATGTTGCCTTACTTTTGTATTACTTAAGCAAAACCATCATTTTGATCTTCATGTGCATAAACTATTATCATCTTACGTTGATGGTAGTCAACATGGGTCATTTTGATCTGTTAATTTATCGAGTTCCACAGTTTCCTCTCTATATTTTCTGCTTGAGTGTCAATCTTTTTGTCCCATGTTGTTTCTTGGTGTTTTTATTTTAATCTTCAAATTAATAAATAATAATTTATTGGAACTATGTTAGTGTTGTAAACTTGTCAACCACTTGAGACTTCAATTCCAGCTTTTCCAGAATTAATAGGAACAAATCAGTTGACCTCACCATCACAAGTATTTATTTCTAAAAATTTCTCAGTGGTAGAGGAAATATCTCTTAGAACATTGGGAAATACTTACTATTATTCATAGGATTTGTCATCTTGTTTCCCAATGTAAAGTATTACACATGACAGAGGGTTTTTTTGTCTGATGACAATTTTTCTATCCTTAGCTAGTAGTTATATTATTTTTTGTATTTTTTATTATGCTTTAAAAACTTATGCTTCTTAGCTGCATCAATTGCAACTTTTTATCCATTTTTACCTTTCTGTGTTGTTTTGCTGCATCATAGTTCCTAATTTACTGATAGCTATTTAAAGAATTATATTTTCTGTGATATTTTTGTTTGGAGTATTTTCCCCTAAAGAAATAAATTAGTTGCCTCTTTTCATTGTGGGGTTGTACCCATTTGTTACTGTTCTTAAATGCCTAATTTCCATTAACAACTGCATTCTGAAAGACATCTCTTAGTTGTAATCAAAGTGCTGTTTAGGGTATAGAAATTCTCTTTGAAGGAAAAAGTAAATAACTTTTACTCCCACTTTGAGGGGAATAAAAAGTTTTGTTACCCTGCTGTTCTTTAGGATTCAGATATGTTTGAAAGAGGTATGTCAGTAGCTTAGCTTCTAGTTAATTGCAAAAATTAATTTCGTACAAAGATAAGCCAGTGGTAATCCAGGCATCTGATTGTGAAAATCTACACTGCAGGTTCTTTGTGCAAGTCTAAAGTAACCTCATAATCTGTAATTACAGATATAAGCTGACTAAATGACGATACACAGACCCACAGGTCACTTATTAACATGCAAATACAATTTGGGTTTTTTTCAGTTTCTGTTAAAGACTATCTTTAAAATAGGGAAGAATGTGGTGGTACAATTTGGGGAAAAATGGAAGACAAAATATTGCAAATATGTTAATTTTTTTTTTTGCACATGGCAGATGTTGAGACTGAAACTTGATGGAAACCAGACACCTTTACCTCTTTGTTTTTCAAAACTGTAAGCACCTCAGAACCAAAGTTCTTTCAGTACTCGTGATCTGAGCATTTTGTTTTCCTAGATCTTTTGACTGTTAAACTCAGCATTGTAATAACATGTGACACAGGGGTTCTGAGTTTTGGTGAGCCCAGAAAGGCAGCCTTCCTGTAGAAATAGTAAAATGTCATACACAGTTTGAATTTTTCCATTTTGTTTTCTTCCTCACTTACATAAACATTTAAAGATGTGTTTTTATATTTGCAGTAGATGCTGAAATTGATTAAAGTTAAGCGTGTTAGACATGAAACTTGAAACATCTGTCTTCCTGATGTTTTCTGTCAAGTACTTGCCAGGATCACTTTCCCTATGCTGGAGCATGTCATACAGTTAAAGCACTGACTTACCAGCTTGACATATGAGCATTACATTTTGCTTTTGAGAAATGAGTACTTTTAATCCAGCATGCTGATGAATGCAAAAAAAAACATTACAGGTAGTCTTCTGTGTCCATCTTCCCTTCTGTCATCTTCTACACAGTCAAAATCAGGGTTTGTTTTTTTTTCTTGCAGGCTCTGACATCAGAATGTGATCTTTGCCAGTATATGTGATAGAGTAATGCTGGTTGCTAAAGAGTAGCCTTGAGGTTGTGAGTTTACAGTCGCTTACTGGTCTGATTCATGGCTATATGTTGTATTCGGTGGCCTGTTGAATCTAACTTTGGATAAACTTCTATGCTCTGTGCCTCTGCTGTCTGAAGTTCCATGTGTGATTCTGCACAGGTACTGTTTGGATGTTCAGCATTCAACTTTGAAATCCAAACTGTTTTTTTGGCATTTTTATACCATCAAAGGCATAAGCATCAATATAAGTGGAATTACTGTAGTG